GGTTGGGCTTTGGTCAACAACCAGCAATTAAAGTCAACACAACTCATTACAATTCATGTAGAATTCCACGGAAGATGTACACTTAGAAAAATCTTTAGAAATCATGTCCATTTTTCAAAATTCTAAACACTTATCTAGCACAGTCATGTTGGTTTCCCTATCAGTCTCGCACACGTATTCACCATCTGCACTGAATACCAGCTGTATGTTTGCTTATGGACAATTTCCTCTGCAGGTATTGTTTTGTCTGGCTTCTTAGAGTCTGAACTGCACCACAAACCAGTGTTGTACCTACTGCATTTCTAGTACCCTTCCAGCTTCCTGTTGTAGAAGAATTAAGAGCCTTCATGACATTCTAAAACCCAGTATTACTACTAATACACAAAAGAGTGCTCATCATTTATGCCAAAAGGAAATATGTACATTTTGCCCAAACTTTATTTACATTACCTTTGCAAGCATGGAGTCAATTCCTACACAAATAAACCAGTAAGCGTACTGTCGTTAATTTTAGTGGAGAGTAAGACACTGCACGTTATTTAATAGGGTTTAGTAGGAACTGATACATGCACAAATCTTACAGGGATACTACTTGGCTCAATGAATGCAGGGAGAACAAAATACCACACAGAAATACTTTCATAGGTTTTGGGTAGCAGGAAGGTTCTTACAAATATATATTACAATGGAATTACAAGCATGAAAAAAAACCCCAACAGGCTGCTGTCAGGCATTCTCCACTGTTATGTCTATTAAACTGCAGCGATACAGATATCAAAATAGTATTTTGAGATGCCTTTGTACTCTTGCCTTGCCACCTATCTTGAGAGTGGTACGAGATACCTTGATATTAAGTAACTTTTATGTACCTAGGAAAACTCAAGAAATGCACCTTTCATGAAAGGATCCATTCCCTAGCATTCTTTATAAGGCCTCCAGTATCCTCTCCCAGGGTCTGCAAGCTAACCAGACATGGGAAGAAGAGCACTCAGTACCATCAACATGATGGTACAGGTATGTTAGAAGGCTTGTAAGGAGATGATCTTTTTGAACTCAGAATCTCACCTTCTATTTCCTCTTTCGTGTAGTAGTTCTGAAAGGAAATTGCTAGGTTTGTGGACTATGATAAATATTCTTACTTATTCCACAGTAATACCTATCTGTCAGCCCATACGAACCTTGTGACTAGCAGTTCTGAAAATTACTTAGTTGCCCATGAAAAAATCTTCTAGCAAGAGGCATAATATATGATTTCCTTTGTACTCAACTATTCACAGAATGGAATTTGAACCTTTGGTTTCAAACAAGCAAGCACTTCGTTCGACTATGTAACAGTGTGTTCCTGGTCTGAAATATTTTGTTGATCAGCATTATACACATTATGTTGCTTAAAGAGGGTGAAGGAGTAAAAAAAGATTATCAAACACAAGAAAACATTATTCATGATTGTGAGCTTTGGCAGAACAGTTTTACATCAGCTATTAAAAACAAAACCCTAAGATATGCTAGTAAATTTGGACTCTGTAGAAACTTTGTGTAGTTTCAGTCCTTTCAGATCCTTTCTATCATGTTAAAGGAGACAGTGAATGCAGTTCAAGTGATTTTGTAGAAAAGAAGCTCATGATAATAGTGACCCAGATATAATAGGTACTATTCTCATAGCACTGGTAGATTAAATCTAGAAAAGATGATACTACTTGATCAGGAAATAAGTTTCTCTGGGAAGGGGAAAAAAGTCAACCCATTGATCCAATTTTTATTTTTTTTAGATATCAAGAAATCAGATGAGATACTTACTTTGTAATATATATTAGAGGAGACTGTTCCAAGAAAGATACAGAATTTAACATATTTCAACACAAATCTATTCTCCTTTATTTCTTTTCACATTGAAAGGATTGATATGATATTGAAACTCTCCTTGAACTGTTCTGACTGTAACATACAATTTTTAAACTTTACAGTTTGGGTTATGATTACAAACTACCAATAGCCTACAAACCACCAAGTTAGCACATTACAGGTTAATTTGATTTTCCAGCACTCTTCAGTCCTTCACACAGCTCACATTTCAAGCCTCCATTAATCATATCATTTAGTTACATGTACACTGGGCATCAGCTGTTACTAGAGGCGATGATGCTACACACCACAATCAAATATTATTAAGTGTCAGGATACAGCATGTATGTGTGTGTGCGCGTGTGCACACACGTGTGTGTGTATATGCATATATGTATGATGTTCGTGAAGTAAAATAGGTATACAACAATTCTGTGAAGCAGTAAGAAAATTGAGTAACTGATGAAGAAACCAGAAGCTTTTTCCCTCTTCACCTCCTCTTCTTTCCACAAAAGCTATGAGAAAGCTGAATTTATCCTAGAATTAACCTTTCACTACTCTTTTCTAGTCCATATCTTCATAGCCACAACTGCTTTTTGACAAACATCACTTAGCTGCTAAGTCTGTACCCCCTACAGTCAAAGACTGCCAATGTGACCCCCCAAAGTTCAGAACATCTCCCATTGCTAAGGTCCTTCAGTTCAGAGACACTCTTAGAAAGACACCAGGTCTTAGAAAACTTTTCAGTTTTATTTTTCTACTGCATAATTAAAACTCTCCAAATCCAAGCATATTTAAGCAAAACCAGCCACCCTCTCAAAGCAAGGCTCACACCATATCACTGTCTTCTCTTCTACTTGTTGTTTGACTCGGAAAAATGAAAGAAAAGAACAAACATTTTCAGTCTTTCAGCTTCTGCTTCTATTCAAGAAACCACCACAGCGTATAATGATGTATAATAGGAAAATGAAGCAGCCAGAGAAACCCTTTCATTGGAAGGACACTTTTTGCTTTCTGAAATCTAGGACTTTTATCTTGAGAATAGGCTCGAAAAATTCAATGTGCCCTTGTTTTTGAGGTCTAGCTTTTACTTGCATTTAAGACAGTTCACATCTGCCAAGCTAGACTGGCCAAACTAGCATTTAGTGGTTGGGTGTTATGAAACTCTTGCAAGTACAATTTGGGTAATGGAATTTTGTGGGATTTGTTCTTTTTCCTCAATAGTATGCAAATTGCTCATTTTCTGAGAACAAAGTTTACTTCAAAGTTTAAGCTGTGAGGCTCTCCTCGCAGGTCCAAATGGAATTTACTGTTTAACTAATAAAGGAATTGATGTAAAGGACAGTGTAGAGTATGGAAGGTGTGATAAAGAAACACTGTCTTTATGGGAGTTTCATATTACCAATGCTCAGCAGAAACACTTTTCTATTTAGGGCTCCAGTACAAACTCAAAGAGCCAGTGAATCAAGAGATTATTTTTTCATGTGATTCTTACCAGGTTCAGTTGCAGATCGTGGCTCTGCGGATCACATCGCAAGGAGGGGAAACAAACAAGAAAAATAGTATTAGAGATTCCATCAATGAACAACAGTATACTGAATGAACGTATTATACGAAAAACCATAGACAAGTACAGAATCTGCGCAGACATATTACAAAATAAGTAAGAGCTAAATTGTTTGTTGGCAGCAGTAGTTCAATTATTACTTCTAGCCATTACAATCACTGAAATGTGAGAGAGGACTCGATCCAAAACTCAATCCTGACAGACTATATCACGATCTTTCCCCACTCTCTATGAAAAATAGCCTCTTCAGATTATTGCCTGTGCTGGTTTTGGCCGAGTGTGGCCATGCTGGGTGCGCTAGAACTTAAGTAAAAACTGGAGTCAAAGGCAGCCAAGTGGTATGCCACAACTGATACTGCTAATGTGTTTTACTCAATCCTTTTGGCAGCAGAGCATAGGCCACAGTTTGCTTTCACTTGGAGGGGCATCCAGTACACCTGGAATCAACTGCCCCAGGGGTGGAAACATAGCCAGAACCAGCCAAAACGAGCACACCAGGCTAGGAGGAAAAGAATGAGTTCATTGCAATGATAAAGCTGATGGTTCAGTCCAAAAGGACCAGGGGTGGAGACTGTAATGGATATACCTTTAAAATGTTGTAACCCATGATTTGAGTTGCATGCTATAGCAATTACTATAGCAGGAACCACCTAAACCAGTGGAGGACAAGCCTTCCAAGAAACAGTCCATGTACAGCAGTGACCCAACCTGAGCTTGTTTAAGTGCCAAATAACTCCATGCAACACACCACCTCTCCTGTCCTGAGTGACCACCATAACATATGGGTCTCAAAAATCATGGACCAAATGAAGTCAACAGACATTTTGTGGGAATTTGTGGATGTTTTACGGACATTTCACATGGGTGGTCCATAGATTAGGGGGAATGATATCTGTGTATTATATCAAAGGATGGGAAGGGCGGTAGTGGTTACTGAGGATTTATTGAATAGCAAAGACCTGATCATGGTGTAAATGCTATGGAATAAGGGATGTAGAATATGCTGGGTTTGGCTGGAACAGTTATTTTTCTTCATAGTAGCTGTATGGGATATGTTTTGGATTTATGCTGGGAACAGTGTTGATTATTCAGGAATGTTTAAGTTGTTGCTGAGCAGTGCTTACACAGAGTAAGCCTTCTCTGCTTCTTATACCACCCCACCAGAGAGGAGGCTGGGGATGCACAAGAAGCTGGGAGGGGACACAGCAGGGACAGCTGACACCAACTGAACAAAGGGATATTCCATACCATATGGCATCATGCTCAGCATATAAAACTGGGGGAAGAAGAAGGAAAGGGGGATGTTTGGAGTGATGGTGTTTGTCTCCCCCAGTAACCATTATGTGTGATGGAGCCCTGCTTTCCTAGAGGTGGCTGAACACCTGCCTGACCATAGGAAGTGGAGAATTAATTCTTTGCTTTGCTTATGTGTGTGGCTTTTTCTTTACCTATTAAACTGTCTTTATCTCAACCCACAAGTTTTCTCATTTTTACTCTTCTGATTCTCTCCCCCATCCCACTTGGGGTGAGTGAGCAAGTGGCTGCATGGGGCTTAGTTGTCAGCTGGGATTAAACCATGACACTGACTTACTTTTTTGGAGAATTCTGAAGTCTGGAGAATCTTGAATTTCAATGCCTTGTCGAAACCACTTAACATGAATGGGAGGGAGTCCTCTGACCCTGCATTCCAATACCACGACTTGTCCTTCAGATGCTGTAGAGTTTTGTAGCTCCTGAAATATAACAATCGCAATTCAAATGAACCAGGAGCACTTTATAGTCTTAAAAATTGTCTTTTCTTCCCTTTGTAATATTTCAACTTTATTTTATTGTGTCATTACATTTTTGCAATAGGCATTTTCTGTGAGCTGTATTTCATTCCGATTAAATTTTATATATCATATATATAGTTTAAAATGACTGAATAGATTATTTTCAAATACATTCTTAATATGACCAAAAATGGAAAAGCTGTAGGACTGTTTAATGCCTCAGATCATAATAAGCAGATAATTGCAGTCTGAACTTTCGTTTTTCATCCTTCTTCCACAAGGTGAAATTAAAACTCTGCAACTAACCTACACATTGATTGACTTGGTTCTGAGAAAGTAGCTGTGCTGCTTTCAGGTCAACCTGTAGGATATGGAATTGCATTTCCTGTGAGCAATTTATAACCAACCAAGCAAAATTAGATGACACACATGCTATTAGGATATGGATGGCTTCTGAGACAGTATTATGGCTGTAATAAATTCTTATATCTGAAAAATTTCAGGAAGAGTCTAATCTTTTATGGAGAACTACAATGAGAGAACAGAAACACTATTTTAAGTAACAGAATTGACAGTAGACAACCACTATTTTTGCCTTTGTAACTATCTGAAGATTATAAATCAAAGACTTTTTTATTGTACTGGCTGTCTCCTCCCCTTTCAAAGTTATTAATAATGTTTTAGGCTTCGATGCAGCCAAGCATTTAAATCTAGGTCTAAGCACAGAGTTATCCCTACTTACTATACACAGATCTGTAGTTAATTGAATACATAAGAATTTTGTTCCATGGAGATCTAAAAATCTTTGGATTGTTCCCTGAAGTTTGCATAGGAAGAAATTTACATCAGAAAGCTGGAGTAAGTATATTTTTCTTCTTCATACCTGGTTCACTTCTTGTGTAATTAAAGTTTTGGTTTGGAAGGTCCCAACTGGTTTAAGCCAGTTAATACTGGATTTCAGGGACAAGAGATGGGAAGGAACAGTAGAGTTTTGATTGCTTTGGTAGTTACTGAATGAGGGCTGGATTTTTCCTACTTCCACTCTTTCTAGGAAATTACCTTCCACCCTATCTTGCAGTAACCACATTCTCTAGTCCCTTGCACCTCCACTATTCATTCTTCTGTGACACCTGCAGAATCAGTGCAGAATTATGAGAGATAGAATCAGACCTTTCTGATTTTTGACATGAGAAAGGGTTTATGATGGAGCCAAGCTAGGCAGTTGTGGAGAACAAGGCTTACTCTTCCATCTAGGAAAAACTACTTGCTATTCTGTATTAGCTTTTCGTCAACTATTTTTCTGAAGTAATAAGCAGAAATACCTTCTCTGCTTCATTTTGACTTCAAAAAGTGGTGATTAAAAAATAGTTACTGCTATGCAAATGATGTTTGGGGCACAGTGAAAATAATATTTTTAATTAAGATTGTATTTTAGAGATTTCCTACTGGAGTATAGGGGTATGATATAAAAATCATTATGGATAAAACATACCTTTGTAAAAATGGGTGCAGAATAGATAGGCTTGGGTCCATCCAGACGGTGCAGGCATGAAGTAGGGCTTTGAACCTGCAAAGCAATGCAACAATGCTGTAAAATTGAAAGAATATTGGTTTCAATAATATGGCCTGCATGTATCTATGCAACAATGCAAACGCTCAATCGTACAGTCTTCTTATGGTGTTCTCATTCTAGTTGTTGAGTGACATCACTATTTCACATCTGTTTTATTTCTGAAATCAAAATACAAGCTTTAAAGGCTTCTATACTTCCCATGAGAATTTTGCATCCAACTGTCTTTGCCTTGAAGTATTTTGAGAGTTTGACTCCTGGTAACATCATTCAAGTAAGTCCTCTGCAATGAAGCCTTTTTGCTTCTCCTGTTATTACATCCCTTGGCTGCTGTAGTAATAAAAAACTCCAGGTACCTAAAAGCTTATCAAGTTTAGCCAAAGGAAGGGAAAAGAATTTACCCTGTACAGTCTAACAGAGATTTTTATTTCATTTGCATTTTGATTTATATGCAAACTCTAAGTCATCCACAGTGACATTAAAACAGTATACATTAATGAACATTGATTTTCTACATTTAACATCTAGATATTAAAATCTAATTTTCTCTAAAAGGCCCAGAGAAATGACAGCAGTATTTTATTTAAGAACAAAATCTAAAACATTTGCTAAAACATACTGTAGGCATTCATTTGTATTACATTCTTTTGGATTTGGAGTAAGTCACTATTAAGTGATATACTCTGTAATTTTCATCACCATTAGCTTCTCACATGCTGTGTTAATACACACTGTGTAAGAATCCATATATATATTTTTACTCCACATTTACTGGATATATACTTAATTAAAATCAGCATTCGTAATATAGTAACGTAAGTTTGTAGTTCAATAATATAATTCCTCAAAATGACGGTTTTTCAGGACTTACAAATGTTGAAATAAAATTTAAAATACTTTCACTAATTTAAAAATTGATGTCTAAAAATACCTGTTGACTGGGCACAGAGATAGGTTGAATTACAGCTGTGGTGACTCCAGACTTTGGTGCAGAAGATCCTATTGTCAAGGAAACAGAAGTGGTTTTCTTTTGGGCCCTGAAAAAAGGAAAACAGTAAGCACTTTATAAGATCTGAAATCAGAATATGATAGTTTGTAACTTGTAAGCTACCCCGTATTTTCTACATCTTTAAATATATCATTATCAGCTGAAAAGATCAACACTGGAGGAAGCTTGAGAACACAATCTTTGGCTAATCTACACTTTCACATATAATAAGAAGTACTGACTTAAGATAGAAACTAAAATGTATTTTGCTTCTTTAATTGTAGGCCTCTGCATGGATGTTTTAGAGGCACAGGGCTGGGTGATTACAAATGAAGACTTGGTTAGCTTACTTATGAATATGAAAAGTTGATATCAGCAAAAGAGTTGTCAGGGTGCTACCAGACTTCTCTGACAGAACAAGCACAGTAATACAATCTACAGTTATACTACTATACATTTATATCACACGAGAGAAGGGGAAAAGGCATGCCATACACAAATATACCCCAGATGCTTATTTAGATCTAAAACTACCACAGAATTTCCAGTGCCCCTTATCAAGAACGTTAGCACAGCATTGATTCTACTTTGCACACTTACTGTGGCATAGCTCCAGATTTTGATTTGAAGATTAAACTTTCACTTTCTGAATCAGTGGAACTGGCACCTGGAAAAGAAAGTATTTTCAGTAATCTCATATTAATTTACTGATTTATTTAATGTTTAAATTCCAATGAAAAAAACATGCTACTTTTTCATTTCACTTTAAGAGCTGAGAATTTTCCATAATAAACTACTGCAGTTTTTCTTATATGATAAAGATTGTAACTATATACTTTAGACAGTTACAGAAATCATAACCAACTCTTTTTCCTAGGCAAAATTTTAGCTGTCTTCCTTCATCCTGAAGCAAATATGGCCAAAAAAAAAAGTTGGCTACTACTACTCTAGTGGAAATGTATAATTTTATTTATGTCAATGTTACAACTTGAAGCTTAAGCAAATATATGGCTTATACACAGATAACAAATCTTCAACCTTAAGTAAGAGCAACTCAGTTGCTCAGACATTTTCAGACTAAACTTGCTTCCCATGATCTCCAGAGTTCAGACTATTTATATTAACCTATACATAATATTTATGTACTGGTATTTCTTGCCAGGAAAGGCTTGATATAATGTATGTGTTTGGCAATACCCTGAAGTCACTTAAAGAAAAAAATATGAAAGCATTTATTCCCCTTATCTTAATTTTTCCAAAGAACAGGTACTTCACACAACATTTATTCTAAACATTTATGCAGGACACATTATTCCTCAAAGGATTTGTGCGTACATATGGACAGCTGTACTGTAATACAAATCATAAGGAATTCATAATCTATATGAATAGTATAGCACAGACTGATTCCAAGGAAACAAAGCTTGGACTGAAGTACCCAAGTACCCCATTTATTTACAAAGTTCAGACTGCAAAAATCAAAGCAACACATAGCACAGAAAAAGTAAGAAGAGAGAAGCAATGTCAAGTCAGCAAAGTGTGTCTGCATGAAAGTATTCCTCATGAGCAAAGGATAAAGGTTTTGTGTGGCTGGCCCTGCTGCACAGAATTATGACACATCAGTGTCACCAAGATTATTAACAGTCTGGTTTCCTTAAAGATCATAGGGAAGGAGCCTAACAACTTGCACAGTTTTCTCTTTCAAAGTTACATGTTGTAAAACTTCAAGTCAGCACTTCCACATAGTAAGACTTTGCTGGATCTCAAGAAAGGAATCCTTCTATTCACTGCATCTCTCTACGTAGCTGTTTCTTTTTTAGTGTTGCTTCTGTTACTGTAAGTTCACACAGTATTATATATTTGTACTATACCTGAGCATTTCTGAAAGCATGCTTACTTCCATAAGAAAAGTCTTCCTAGAATCTGTAAGATTCAGAAAAGTCTTGGGGACTTTGCTATTATATCCCAGTGTGGGATGACAAAGCTCTGATAATGAAAAGGCATAATGAAAGAAACCTTATAAATGCACATCTGCCACAATTTAGCTAATTTATAGTGAAAAGCTTATTGCTTTATTAATCAAAAGCTATTAAATCATTTTGGTATGGTATTATTCAGATTTGTTATGGCTATTTGTTACATTAATTTGGTTTATGCTTTCAATTATGCATTTAAATTAATTTCTATGAGATACAAACTGGTAAAAGAATGTTTGAAAATGCATGAACTAAAATAAAAATAAGTATTCAATTAATATAATCATGCCTAGAATCCAGTCCTCCTCTAAAAAAAATAGTGTAATAATTTTACTCATGGTTAAGTAAGTCATTAGCTTTCCGCAGAGAAAATAATATTTGAATTATGACTAATTTTGAAATGAAGAAATATCTTGAAAATTGCTAGCAGTTGATTCTGGACAAAACCAGTATGACTAACTTTTAACCCGACCTAGAGTCAGTGTACCAAATATGAAGAATTATATATTTACACATGACTGAAGACAACTCATTTGGGGCAGCCACATTTATTTGCACTGGAAGGAAGTTCAGAACTGAGGCAAGGATTACTGCTATCATGAAAACCATTATTGGTATTACCAGTCAAATCTTTATTTGATTTACAGAGGGTACTACTTAAAAGCTAACCACATGCCAAAAGCTCTGCTTCTTTGTCTTTTTCCATTCTTTGCCTTTCATTCTTTCACCCTAAATACATGGCAATCTACCCACTGATTTGTGGGACATTCCTTGAAATACCTGAATTAATATGATGAGGTGTTCTAAATGTTTTGCATTAAAGTGAAGCAGAGGAACACCATAAAGATATCACCAAAGCAAACGTAATCTTAACATGCAGAATCAATACCAAACTTCATCTTGGTTATCTTTTCCTGTGTGCATCAAGTATCTTATCATGTCATCTCTTACCTTCAATGAATATTTCAGCTGATGTACTATCTGCACCAATGGAATTTGAAGCCACGCAAGTATAGCGTCCAGTATCGTCTTCAAAGGCTTCTGCTATGATTAGTGAATGAAGTCCTCCGCTTCCAGAACGGATCTGAATGTCAGGGGAATTCTGGAGCTCTTTTCCTTCACAGAACCATCTGCAGCCCACACACATTTATAAAGACAAAGGAAAAAGAACATAAAGGATTGGTTCAGGCTCATCGCACACAAGAAGACATTACACTCTGCTGCAAAAATCTAAATTGCTACTGAAATCAGCACATGGTGCTTTGAAGTGTTTAATGGCATTTGCAAAGAAATAACTTGTTGGAATAAACTTTGTTTAAAAGGTAGTGAGACATTTCTGAATGCTAAGGAAACTGCACACCTCGACAATTTAAAACTATTCCCTGTCCTGGTTTGGGACAATTAATGCTTTCTGTGTGTCTCATGCATTGGCTTGCTTTGACCACAGTCTAATCTATTTAATTTTACCTTGCTACTCCGTTCTTCCTATAACTCACCGATTCTCCACACAGGATGTTTGATTTTTGTCTATCATGCCCAGTCAACCTGATATAATCCTGTGGTACAGCTTCCATATTGCTAAACTTGGAGTAGGTTTACTTTTGCCTCAGATCAGGAACACAAACTGGTTTTCTAGCTCTGGATTTTAAAGGTATGTATATAATGCATGTTCCACTACCAAAATGATGCCCTAACTGGGTTTAGGAACAGGCAAAACAAACACTTATCTGGGATGATTTACAACTAGCTAAAAGCACAGCCTATTCTTTTCACATAGGGTCTGTCAAGCATTTTCCAGGGCAGGCTGCCTGAAGAGCTAGTTCATGTTTTCAGCATGAATTGCTGCCATGAAGGTACCAGCTCCCATCTCTTTTCTGTTTGATTCCGTAGTATCAGCAGTCCTGTTCTCATAGGCTACTCCATGAGTTGTCCATACCTCTAGCAGCCCAGCAAGAATGAGAAGTAAATAATTCTTTATCTACAGGGGCTGCTATGCAGTTTTGCAAGGGGTGATAGATTGGTGAGTCACTAAAGGAAAATCATTAGGGAACAGCCTTCCTTCCATTCTCAAAAATTCTCTATGTCCTAAAACCAAATTTTGCCAAGTCCTTCTGAGCTTGACTCCCACTCCAGTCTTACAAACGCATTCTGATCTTTACCACTTTTCCTTCCTTTCCTCTTACCCCGTAATCTTAATCTGTGCTTTTCCATGTTCTCTTTCTGCCCTCCTTTCCCTCTTCTTCATCTGCCCCCCACCC